GCTTACTCTCCATCTGTTAGCTGAATCAACATCTCAAGTGGGTATTGCATCTGCCTATAGGCATCTGCCCCACACACAAAAAAAGGGGTGCTAGATTTTTTGATATTAGAAAGTTGACTGTCTCATCAGAGGAATCAGGTCTGAGAGATGTGAGTCACTATCGAAACTCTTTGCTTTGATATCAGAGTCAGCAGGGTGACCAAGGGACCCGGTTGCCCAAAGTCTCTTGAGGGGTCCTGTGGGTCTCCCTCAAATGGTATCTGAGGAAATCATCCTTTGGACAAAGAAGGTCTTGGGACCTGGTACCAGAGTGGAATGCCCTTGCCTTCAATGGGAGGGAGATTCAAACTGGTTACACACTCTTGCTGGCATTAGAGCAGCTACTTTAGAGTAAAGGAGGAGCTAGGGCACAGCATGGCCTTCAGAGCCCTCATGGGGACCCCAGGGCAAGCCATACAAAGGAAACCTGACACATGCCCATCTTCCCATTGGGAGAGACAGAAGTCAACATAGTTGGGAAACTGCATGAGTAAATGCATCTTGAGCTATTTTAAATTCTTCTTTTCTTAAGACACTAGGATTTTCACATTAAAATATCCCCCACTACAAACAACCCTGCATAGTATTGCAACCACTTCTTCTCTGGGGTTGGAGATACAACTTTGGAGCAGGTTATTCTCATTTCGGAATGCATTTATCACTACCAGAGAAATGAAAGGAGGATGCTTTTGGTAGATGCATTTTCAAGAGAGCAGTGAGAATGAAGTTGCTGTAGGAAACAGAAACAATACACATGCTCCTGTCTCTCTCCTCCACCACTTCTCAGTGTGCCACTGTGCTTCTCCCTCTCCCCTGGTTCTTGGGAGGAGCTGGATGCACTGGCAGACAGATGTATCTGACAAAAAGGCGTCTGGCTTTCTGGTGACACTTGCAGTTTATGTCTGAATGGATAAGCTGCAGATGCGGTGGGCCTATGGGAACTGCTGAATCTGCTTTAGCACGCTAATTCTAATCATATGTGAACCATATGTTGACTACACAGCTTAACCTCCACAGTGCCCTCATTCTCTCGCTCTTTGTGATTTCACATGAGGTGGGATACAAACTAAGCAGTTTAGGCCACCAACTTTAAAACTGCTCAGGTGGCCCTTTGGGCATTGTGTTGGTTTGGGGGAAAAGAACGTTTTTAAAAAGGAACTGAGCTGTGAAGGATGTCTGTGCTGCTTTTGCTGAATTGACAATCATAGATCACTGAACCTCTCAGGTTTATCCTCATCCCTTCAACCTGATTATTACAGATCTCCTTGTCAATTCAACCAAACTTAACAGCCAGATAAGAGATGATGGGACTAAGCCTATGTAGATGCTGTGCTTTCTCCCAACAGTCTTGAACAACTGAATGTATGTTTTCTTGGCTCAGCATGGCTATACTCTCTTGGCAGTCATGGGCAGTATAGGAAGCCAGCCCTGGGTTCTTCTTGATCTAGCCCATCATAGGATACTCAAGGATATAGAAAGTGATTCTAAACCCACAGAATCAATTAACCTGGCCTCATAGGAGCTCACAGAGACTAAATTGACAACAAGGGAGCCTGTATGGGACTGACCTAGGCAGTTATGTTACAGTTGTATAACCTGGTCTTTTGATGAACTCCTGACAGTGGGAGCGGAGGCTGTCTCTGACTATGTTGCCTGCGTATGGGACCCTTTCCTCCTACCAGATTGCCTTGTCCAGCCTTAATAGGAGAGGAAGGTACCTCTCATTGCAACTTGATATACCATGGCTGGCTAATATCCACTGCAGGCTTGTCCTTTTATGAAGAGAAACAGAGGAGGAGGAGTGGATGGGGAGAGGGAAGAGGGAAAGTGGGAGAAAGGACTGGGAGGAGAAGAGGGAGGGGAAACTGCCCTCAGGATGTAAAAACAAAAAATAAATGAGAGAGAGAGGGGGAAGGTCTAAGAGGAAGGTCCAGGTCCTGAGAATCTCCAAAAGCTTTGGGGTCTCAATTGATTAACCAAGGATGCTGAAGGAATTGAATGTAGGATAAGAAGGTTGGCTGAGAAACCAAGACAAAGGTTTTATGTTGTACACATTTTTAAGAAGAGAAGAGGTAAAGAATAGCCTAGATCTTAGGAGAAAGCAGGGGCCTACAGCTCATCTCAAGTCCTATAGGAGTGATTTTGTTGTATAGCAATCAGGAGTATAAGAAAGCTGAATAAAAGTCACATTACCTAATTCAGTACCCAATATTGTTAGATTCTATCTCAGTGTTCAGGAGGAAGCCTAAGAGACTATATACTTCCTCGGTTCTGTTTCCTTAATGATCAGAGCCCCTTGAATAAAGGACCCTCAATTAGTCAAGCTGTCATTAGCACTCTTCAAAGATGCAAAGCTTTATTTAAAGCTGTTGTTACATAAAGAGCAATGTGGGTCTTGACAATTCCTTGCATTCACTCCTCTTGTCCTGTTCATGTTTTCTAGGTTTAGGTCTTAGGTGTTCATGCTGTTTAGCAGTATTTAAGTTTAGCTGATAAACATAAGGGTTTTTTCATTCAAGAAAGACACCAGAGATGAGGAGGGAGTGAATTTAAATAATACTTTATGCATTGACTGCCTTAAGCTGGCTTTATGGACATAGAAAGCTCTTATACATGCACAGTCATGTGGAAATCTTGAACCACTATGCATGCTCAGATGTCATCCACATTCCTTTTGGAACCCAAATACTCACCTGCATTTATCTATGTGTTACCTAATTTTGTATTGATTAATTCATTAATCTATATGTGCATAATATGTAATTGGGGTGTTGGAGAACAACTTCCTAGAGTCAGTTTTCCCCTTCTGTCTTTACATGGATTCCAAAGCTCAAACTCAAGTCAACAGGCATGTGGTCAAGTGCTCTCACCCCCTGAGCCATCTCCCAAGCTCTGGACATGACTTGCATTTAGAGTGAGACACTCAGGGTCTGCAGCCTCTCATTTGGACATTGTGATGCTCAGCTGTAGTATGTGCTTCCAGTAACACTGGTCACATTCATTCCTGTCACTCATGTGCACTCTGGGCTATTAAACTCTCCTTCAGAGGTGTGCAGAAGACAACAGATATGCTCATGTCCACCCAAAATTCTTACTCATCCAGGTGTGTCATACACTCATATACATTCCTTTCTTATTTGCACGAATGAGCATCCCTACGTTCAGAGAAAATCAAGGAATATCTGCCCCATCAATGATTCTACATGCTCTTGGGAGGAGTTCCTTCACAGCCTTTGTTCAATTTAATGAAATAGTCCTGGCTTTGTATCTTACCCAAATCATGCCTTATAATCCATTGTCCTCAGATGGATAACCTAACAAGAGGGTTGAAGCCTATGCTACTCTGTTTTTGTAAAGCATGTGCTATGTTATATTTGAACAATGGATACAATCTACAATCACCTCATTCATTCACAAAAAAATTTTTTATACTCTTTGGACAGCTGTTTTAGAGAATGCAATAGAATCCTTCTAAAAGGTGTTCACTCAAGGCAAGGACACAGCATTCCAAGGATAAGGGCTTTTTATTCAATTCACAAACTTTTGAGTAACTTTCACAAAGAGAATCTATATACTTGGCATATGGTTGATATTCAGTAAAGTCTGTCATCTCTATGCACACACTGGCACCTCCTTATAGTCTTAGTTGAAGGGGATGATATGAGATTACTTGGCAGACTCTCCTGGGAAACACTGTTTACCCTGATTAGAGTTTCTGCATCCATCCAGATTTGGCTTTGTGCTTGCTTTCAACTTTAATTCAATCCACTTTGATTCATTTCAACAAATGTTCATTGATCACTTGCTTAGAGTCACGCATGCTCTGGGCACTGTGTGTGTGTGTGTGTGTGTGTGTGTGTGTGTGTGTGTGTGTGTGTGTGACAGAGAGAGAGAGAGAGAGAGAGAGAGAGAGAGAGAGAGAGAGAGAGAGAGAGACAGAGAGAGAGAGAGAGACAGAGAGAGAGAGATGGGGGAGAGGATAGAGTGATTCAGAGATAACTAAGCCACACTTTTGTCAAGGATACAATCAAGTCAGCAAGGCACATATCCTGTCTTATGCTTTTGCAAAATCAACCAGATAATGATGAATGAGTTGAGAATAACTCATTCTGGACAAGCTTCATGGAATAAATATAAGAAAGACATCAGTATTATTGTAAGTCTTTTATAGGTAGAGGTGGTTAGCATTGGCGGGTGTTTCAAATAGAGGAAGAACACGCTGGTGATGGAGAGGATCAGTCATGGGATGCTTATATAATAGCTGTGTGTCTGGATCTATTGGAATTAGTGGGTATCATGAGATGATCACCTGAAAGGAAAGCTGGAAACCAAGGATAAAAGACTTCAGCTGCCAGTGTGAGGAGTTTAGATTGTATAATTTGGACAAAAGGGAAGCTATAGAAGTGCTTGAAGAGAGATGGTATTATATGATTGGAAGCAAAATGCATAGATAGACAGAATGAACAGATGAATTGAGGACAAAAAAAAAACTGAGTCTAGGTAGAAGGTGGGAATGTGCCTGGTCTCAGCATCAGCAATGGGAAGAAGTAAAGAAGGTTGTGGCAAGTGTAACACTGCTGAGTGCCTGGCCACTGAGCTTGTTGGTTGGGGTGAAGAGTGAGATCTAAGTAGATGAGACTTGAGAATGAACCAGATTTAGGATCTGGGCACCTGTCAGACAGCAGTAATATCCTTCAAAAAGGGAAGCCACTAGAAGGAGCAGCAGGTGTATACAGACTGGTTCTGAGATGGATTTTGGGTGTGTCTTATGTATACTGGCACTGAAGTATGTTTCTACAAAGCAGTGGGTTCGAAAATCTGAAAATGGAGTAAGGTATTTTTTTTAACAGACAAAAGTGATATCTGACTCTGCTCATAGGGGAGTTATACAAGCACAATGAATGCTAGTGAGCTTTTCTGTCCTCAGAGTGACTCATCTACCTCTTGTCTTTCTTTTCCAGTGTTTACCAACTGGTTGTCAAGGAGGAGCGACTTCAGAAGTCCCGGAGAGCAGCTGACATCATCGAGTGTTTCTCTGTACCTGTGAGCTACCGGAATGCCTCCAACCTCGATTCTCTACACTACTTTGCTGCAGAGTTGAAGCCCTCCAACCTGCCTGTCACCCAGCCATTTACAGTGGGAGACAACAAGACATACAATGGCTACTGGAACCCTCCCCTCTCCCCATTGAAGAGCTACAGCATCTACTTCCAGGCACTCAGCAAAGCAAATGGAGTAAGTAGGTCATTACTTACCTGGTTTGTATTTTCCCCTTCTCAAATGTGAAGTCTGTGCAACTTTACAGGAGAGTTTAATAAACTGAGGCCTGTAAATGGATGTTTCCTGTCCCAACCACCCAGTCCCAAATACCTGACTCAGAGGCTGGATATGAATTATAAATACTCTGCTGATAGCTCGGGCTTATTACTAGCTATCTCTTTCATTTTTTTTTCTTTTTTTCTTTTTGATACAGAGTTTCTCTGTGTAGCTTTGCACCTTTCCTGGAACTCACTCTGTAGCCCAGGCTGGCCTTGAACTCACAGAGATCTGCCTGGCTCTGCCTCCCAAGTACTGGGATTAAAGGTGTGTGCCACTACCGCCCGGCTATCTCTTTCATTTTAAGTTAACCCACATTCCTTATTTATGCTCTGTCACATGGTAGTACCTTATGTAGCATGGGAAGTCCATCTTCTGCTCCCTCTGCATCTGGCTGGCAACTCCTCTGACTCCGCCCTTCCTCATTCCATCCTTCTCAGTTTGTCTTTCCTGCCTAACTTTATCCTGTTCATCTATTGGCCAGTCAGCTTGTTTATTAAACAACTCATAGTGACATATATTCACACAGTTTACAGAAGGATTATTCCACAGCAGAGGCCCATGAGCCAAGTCCAGCTCTCATGTCTTTTAAGATTTTGAAATAAGGTTGATTTTTTTATTGCTTTATTTTTGTTCAATTTTTGGTTTCAGTTTTATTTTAGTGCCACTATGTATCTTAGTTTGCATATTACCAATGATTGCTTTGATACTTTGATGCTTAAGAGTAAAGTTGGGGAGTTGCAATAGACACTGTATATGTCACAAGGCCTAAAGCCTTTATTTGTATGGCTTCTATGGAAAACATTTGCAAACTTGTATTAGAGTATGAAAAAGGTGCTACACTTGAGAAAGTCATGTGGCCTGGGTTGTGATTCCTTTATCTGTAATACTGATGCCTGTCAGTGTCTGGATGCAGGAGGAACGTGTTTCAGTTCACCTTTAGAATTATTCCTCTTATCACAGCCATGAGTCACATTCAAAAAAAAGAAAGTGACTGTTTTGTATCAAGTGTTTCCTTGGTCTGGTAGTTGTATCCATCAACATCACACATTCACAAGGCTGGAAAGTTTGTAAAGGTCATCCATCACCTTTCCATTCACACCTACCCACCCCTGCATACAATATACTTCAGTTACCATTACCACATTATAGTCAACATTTGTCAGTGCTGAGTTTTGAATGCCTGCAATGACAAAGAACTTACTTGGCTGATTTAGGAGTGGCAAGGTGAGGATTGTGACTCTAAGAAAGCTTTGTAATATAATTATTAATATTTCTTTGATGCTGGCTTCTACCCAGTGGTCTTCAAGTATACTTTTTAGGGGTTTATAGAGCCAAATACAATCACCTTTAGGGTATTTGTTTCTATTGCATACAATCTTTAGCACCACCCACTTACTCACTCTTAAATCACACCCATTGGGTCATCTTGTCTATTAATACTTCTTATAGGTTAGTATTTTCCCATTCAGGGTACTTTCATGAACATATTTCAGGTTTTCATAATTTATCCATCAAGCATATGATGATCATGATTGTGTGCAAATCCCTGTAGTTCATATTATGGTTAGTATGCGCCCTCCAAGAGATTTTAGATATATGAGGAAGCCTGAAGTATGCTGCATCATGTAGTGTCTCTACAGAAGTAGCAGCTCACTGCAAACAAGGACTGAGACCCAAGCAAGACTGGTGTTATGTTCATAGAACAGTTTAGTCTGTCAGTGGCAATCACTGACTGGGGAAAAAAAGAAAAAACCCTGGACTGAGGAACTAATTAACATTTAGAGTGTCCACATGCCCATTTAAATTCCACTTTGATATTTCAGTTCTGTATTTATTACTGGTTCAAGCAACACTCCTCACTGAGTGTATAAAGCTACAAAGAGAAGCTGCCAGCCTGCCTTCCACCTGTCCATCTGGTCCCCACTCTGCACGAAGCACTCTGATGTATTGCGCATGAAGACATAAACATGGACCAAAGCATCTGGGGGCCCATCTTTCTTTCAGATCTCTGAATCCTATGCTGCCCTGTGCATTGCTTCAGCACAACTCTCTGATAAGATGTGGCTTTCTCAGTTCTCAGCACATAGGGAGAAACAGGGTTGTATTTCCTGTCTGCTAATGAGGATGAGGTGCGTATGCCCCAGTCTCATGTTACCATATCCCCACACACATACTGCTCATAGAGCTAGCAATACACTAAGACTACTAGAAACTAATTATCCCAGGTGTTTTTCTAACCCAAGAATGATTGGCTGTGAAAGGGATGTCAGGTGACACAAAACAGCTAGTGGATGATTTTCTCCCCAAATATTACATCATAGCCACTTCCCTGGAGGACATGAGGTTTTGATACATAGGAAAAAACCAAGTCAGGTACTCAAGGTGCATTTGCTCTAGAGGCCGTTCCAAGAGGAGCAAGGCCAAATACCTGTGCCTTCCATTCCACATCATCTGTTCTACCATTGTGGAATTATAATTTCTAGCCAAGGTATACAGCAGGAAGAGAATTGGACACATGCTTATTCAAGGTTGTCTGAGTATGCAGTTGGACTCACAAAAACAGAGAAAGGAAAAGCAGTCAGATGTGGGCACTCAGACTGATTTTTTTTTCTGGCAAAGAAGGTACACATTGCTTAAAATTACTGTCTTTAATATTAAGTTGTACTGAAAAAAAATGAGCAAAAAGGTCATAGGAGCAGAACAGCTATCCCCACTCTAACAAATCTCTGTCTGGCTCCTTTCCTACTCTGTGTATCATAGAGGCCAAGAGACAATGCAGTTAAACCAGGAGGGCTTTGGAGAGTGATCAACCACAACCTCCAACCAGCCACATTCATTGTTCTTGAGAAAATACATCAGAAAGACTGCTCCTTGGTACACCGAGCCACCTCCATGCCCTGCTTCTAATAAATCATTCAAAGAACAATTGACTAGCAATGAATCAAAACAAAGAAACCAAGAATAGAGAAGAATGGAATAAAAGACCCACAATGAGCAGGAAACTAATTAGACACTGCATTAATGCTAAATAATCACTCCAAATACTCGACAAAACAGAAGGTTAATATAAAAAACAATTACTTAAAGAGGAGATGCACAATGTAAAAATTAACAATTGTGATTTGGGTCCAAAATTCACTGTCATGTTAGCAAGAAATTAGAAAAGGGTTAGAGACTGAAATATGTGAATAAAACTCTCTACTTTTCTCATATAAGACAAAAGCAAATGAATAACCACTGTCGTACTCTAGATACTGAGGATTTTTGAAGTATAGCTTTTAAACATACAGATGGTCTTCTGATAATAGAAAGTAAAATAGTAACAATATACAAAGAAACACAGGAAAGACTGTGGTTGATATATTGTGCACCCCAATAAACTTATCTGGGGATTAGAGAACAGAACAGCCACTATATTACATTGAGGTCAAGCAGAGTTAGCACACGCCTTTAATCCAAGCCTTCTGGAGGCAGAGATCCATCCAAATCTCTGTGATTTCAAGGCCACACTGGAAACAGCCAAGCATGGTGACACACATCTTTAATCCCAGGAAGTGATGGCAGGAAGCAGAAAAGTATATAAGGCATGAGGACCAGAAACTAGAGACTTTTAAGCTTTTGGACTTTTAGTAGCAGTTTGGCTGAGATCCATTCGAAGGAGGGCTCAGAGACTTCCAGTTTGAGGAAACAGGATCGGCTGAGAAGTTGGAGATGTGAGGTTAGCTGTGGCTTGTTCTGTCTCTCTGATCTTTCAGAATTCACCCCAACCTGGCTCCCTGGTTTGTTTTTATTACTAAGACCTTTAAGATTCATGTTACAAAAGACAAAAGCGGGGTTGGGGATTTAGCTCAGTGGTAGAGCGCTTGCCTTGCAAGCGCAAGGCCCTGGGTTCAGTCCTCAGCTCAGGTAAAACAAAAAACAAACAAATAAACAAAAAAAGACAAAGGCAATTATAAAGAAACATGAAAATCAGCAACTTGAATGGAAAAAGAAAACATTAGGCTTTGGGATGTAAAGAGAAAGTAATGTTACTCCTTCATAAGAGGAGACAATGGCTTTGATAAAGTCAAAAACAGGACTCAGTAAACCTGTTTTTCATTACAATGCTTAAAGCAAAGGATGTGTCAAAGTCCTTTGGAACTAAAGAAAATAGGGAGAGAGGCGGACTTGTTACAGAATAGTTGTGGACCAGGTTGAATAATTTACTACTAGCCAATTCCGTTCCTTCTTATCCTACCTGCAAGCTTTGTTCAGGACAAGGTGAGAGAATTTAGAATCCAAGAATGTCCATTCTGTGGATATTAGGATAGTTTATCAGCTTAGCAGATGATGGTAAATTCAGCCTTTAAAGTCAGACTGCTTACATACAAAACCCTGGTGGCTGTGTGACTTTAATTAAGCTATTAAACACATTAGATACGGTTGATTAATTAAAAGAACATCTATCAAGCACACACTATTTGTCACAAAGGCAAAAAGAAAAAGTTCTGGAAAACTGCACTGAGCAGACAAAATGCTGCCTGCATAATGTTTACATTCTAATGGGGAAGAAAGCAAACTAAATAAGGGAAATAACTTACCAAATGACACTTACTGGTTTTAGTAGTGTGGATTCAATCATTAAGTACTGACTGAGAATAAAGACAGTTTATAAGTTTTAGAGAGGTTATGAGTGGCATGTGTTTTCCCAGACTCATGCATGCTATAGAAAATTTGGACATGGCAATGCATAATAAGGTTTTTCAGAGCCTCTTCAGGTGTTTGCATGAAATCTGTTATCCTCTAGTACTCAAGTTGAAATTTTGTCTGATTAGTGATCTTGTATTTGCCTGTTGATGTGTTCTTGATAATAAAAGGCATTTAAAGTTATGTCACCAGAGTCTGAATTTCCATTTATTGTAGACTGTGAGTTGTGG